CGCTACATGTCAAGAAGAAAACCAAACTGACCAAATCCAAGCAATGCAAAGGTTCGTGCCAGTTCCCATGCTGTTGGAGCCAAGGCTTGTCATATAAGTCAGGAAGATGAATCTCTCTGTGCTGATGTTGAAGGGCTCAGAAAACAGGTCAAAGAACTTCAAGGGCAACTTAAAGCATTAAAGCCTAACAGGTGTTCGGAGTCATCTGAAGGTGTTGTTTCAAAGCTGAGACAACAAGTGGCTCAGCTACAGAGTCAGGTTGCCAACATGATGGTCTCAGAACAGCGGAGGTCAACTGCAACTTTATCAGAAATGAGAGACAGGAAAAGAGGCAGAACTGTGACACAGGAAACCCAGACAAATACTCTCAAGGGGTTCAGTAATAGGCCAAGGCCTTGGTACTGTTTCTGCTGTGGTGAAGATGGACACACTGCTGCATCTTGCACAGCTGATCCAAATCCTTCCTTAGTAGCTGCTAAAAAGAAGCAGTTAAGCGAAAAACAACATGCTTGGGAGCTTCAGCAAAATTTAGTGAACCGAACACACTCGCAAACGATGGAGAGCCCTGCTGTTACCAGAGCTAGTGTAAACAATCAAACTGCTCAGACTAAATTGCTTGGTAACTTACCAAGGGGGCTAGTGGGGACCAAGTGTACTTCCCAAGTAATTATTGGTGGACAGATGTACAACTGCCTGCTTGATACAGGATTGCAGGTGACCGCTGTTTCTCAGTCTTTCTACGAGACACACCAGCCACCTTTGAGTTGCAAACCTATTGATGATCTACTGGAAGTAGAAGCAGCTAACGGACTGCCTGTTCCATATTCAGGTTATGTGGAACTGAATATTAGTTTTCCCAAAGAGCTTTTGGGCACAGCTGTGGAAGTTCCTACATTAGCATTAGTCGTTGCAGACATTAGCGAAGCAGCACGACCCACCTTGCTAATAGGCACCAACACTTTGGATGTTCTCTATGAGAGATATTGTGAAATTAGTCAGCCCAAACTTCAGTCACAACATCATGGCTATAAAATGGTGCTGAAAACACTAGAAACAAGATGCAAACAAACTGAAAACTGCACAGTGGGCACGGTGAGACTCATCTGTAATGCACCAGAGGTTATCCCAGCACGTCAATGTTCTGTTTTAAAAGGCTCAGTGAACCACAAAAGTGTTGACCGTTGGGTTGTTCTAGAGTCACCCTCAACAGTCACCCTTCCTGGTGGTCTCATTGTGGTTAACAGCTTGATTACCCTACCTGACAAGTCCCACACTACGTTGCCTGTGGTGCTGAGAAATGAGACAGACCACGATATCCCCCCCCTCAAAAGAGTTCTCGCTGAGTTGCACGCCTTGCAACAAATCCTGCCTAGTGATTCATTGAACAGAAACCCAATGGACACCTCATCTTTGACAGCCCCAGCTGCACAGACTAATTTTGACTTTGCTGACTCTCCTATCCCTGCTGAGTGGAGAGAGAAGATAGAACGCAAACTGAAAGCTATGCCTGAGGTCTTTGCTCAGCACGACTTAGACTTTGGACACACTAACCAAGTAAAACATTGCATTAAGCTGCATGATGAAACCCCTTTCAAACAGCGAGCTAGAGCTATACATCCTCAGGACTTTGATGCAGTTAAAAGACATCTTGAGGATATTGTTAGAGTCCGGGGTAATCAGAGAGTCTGAATCCTCATTTTCATTCCCTATTGTGGTAGTCCGGAAGAAAAATGGTGAAGTGAGACTCTGTGTTGACTACCGTGAACTCAATCTGCAAACTGTGAAGGATGCTTATTACCTAATTTGGAAGAGACATTCTCAGTGCTGACAGGGTCCAAGTGGTTCTCAGTTCTTGACTTGAAGTCCAGGTATTACCAGATTGAATTGGAAGAAGCAGACAAACATAAAACAGCTTTTGTATGCCCATTAGGATTCTGGGAATTCAACCGTATGCCACAAGGTATTACGAATGCTCCCAGCACATTCCAAAGACCAATTGGAAAAATGTATGTCTGACCTCAACCTAAGAGAAGTCATTGTGTTCTTGGATGACCTCATTATCTTCTCAGAAACCTTAGAAGAACATGAGGAACGCCTATTCAGAGTCCTCAAGCGGTTGAAGGAGTATGGGCTAAAATTGTCCCCTGAGAAATGCAAATTCTTTCAAACTTCTGTCAAGTACTTTGGACACATTGTTTCCAGTAATGGGGTTGAAACTGACCCGGATAAAATTGAAGCCTTGAAGGACTAGCCGAGTCCAAAGAACCTCAAAGAACTTTTAGGATTCGCAGGTTATTATCGGAGGTTTATCCAAGACTTCTCAAAAATAGTCAAACCCCTAAATGATCTAACTGCTGGATATTGTCCTAAAAGGAAAGGATGTTAACTGACTAAAGACCAAAATCAGTACAACGAGCCAAAAGAACTGCTGGACAAAAAACTGTCAAAAAGCTTTTGACACAATCATCAATAAGCTCACTTCAGCACCTGTTCTGGGGTTTGCTAACCCTAAGTTACTATACATTTTGCATACTGACGCTAGCACCACCGGTCTTGGAGCTGCATTGTACCAGGAGCAAGATGACCACAGACAAGTAATTGCGTATGCCAGTCGTGGTCTCTCAAGAAGTGAGGCACGATACCCAGCGCATAAGCTTGAATTCTTGGCCCTCAAGTGGGCGGTGACTGAAAAATTTAGTGACTATCTCTATGGAAACTCATTCACAGTAGTAACTGACAGCAACCCCCTGACGCACATCCTTACTTCCGTGAAGCTGGATGCCACAAGCTACAGGTGGCTGTCTGCGTTGTCAACATTTTCTTTTAAGTTACAGTATAGACCTGCGAAGCACAACATAGATGCAGACGCTCTCTCTCGGTGGCCCACAAGCACCAAAGTAGATGAACCTGCATCGCAAAAAGAGCTAGACAGAATTAGACAATTCACATTGCAACACTTGCCCGAGCTTACTACTAACCCAGAAGTGAGCACAGAAGTAGTTCAAGCAATCTGTGAAGCCCGGTTGGTGCGCCAACCATCTGTGAATGCATCAGAAGTTGAAAGCATTCCCTTGGTGGGATCCCTTGCCACTCATACTTACCTGAGGACTGAGTAACCAAACCTGAAATAAACAACAAAGGTGATTAGTGTAGATCTATAACACTGAGTAACACTTGGGTATAAAAGAGAGAGAGAGAAAAAAAGGGTTCTTACCTGTGATTTTGCACTGTGAATCAGTTGTACGTTGTTTATCTTATTTGGGGAAGTTTCTGTACATTGATTTATTTATTTTTATTTCATTGTATTTCTGAAAGAAAAATAATTTTTGCTACATTGAAGAGGTTTTCCCAATACAGTACCTAATCTGCCATATATCTGGCCTTGTGTCTTTGATGTTCATTTGCTTCATGAGCGAACCTACAGCTCCTGTACAGGTAACTCACAAAATATGTGCCATGCACTAGTGTTTACAGTACTCACTGGTTACATCACCATGTAAGAGACCCAGGTAAACTCTGGAACTTCATCTACAAACAGCACCCTGAGACCCTGCTTTAAGTGACGAGGCCTACAGATGCAGTAATAAGATTTTGAGGCTTGTGCCCCCCTGATGTGGACGGTGATGTGATTAGTGACCTGATCCACTGCAGCTGGAGGACATCCATATCACACCCTTAAAATCTCAGCAGTTTACAGTAGTTTTCAGAAATGAAATCTGTTATAAGACTTTAAAGATTGAATGTTTCTAGTTTTTGTTCGTTTATAGTAACTTCTATTGAGAACAATGATCTTTTGAGTTTGTCTATTATGCTAATTTTTAAACTTTTTTTTGAAGATGAAATGAAAGTGGTATGAAACATTTAAATGCTAAATGTATTTTTTTCATTATTTTATCTTATTTTATTTTTTATTATTATTTTATACGTGAGACAATACAGAAGTCATTTTAGGACAGCAGTGACCTCAGCTGATCATTTCAGTGAAAATGCAATTAATAAGTTTACGCTCGGTTTTCCTACATTGACTGATGTTTAATCCTCAGCTGCCATCTTGTGGAGAAGAAAACGTATTACAGCGACTAAAACAATCTTTCTGTATGATGGTTAGGAAAATATTTAAATGACTAGGAAAAAACTATTGAAGTGAAAAACATATTGTAATAAAATTTTAGAGTATTCTCCTCAATTATTATCATGTACTTCCTTTCTTTTATTAAAAATAATTAAAATGCACCATGTTTCTCAGATCAGTGTAATAACATCTTTCAAATTTTGTTTTAAAATTTTATGAAGTAGTATTCCTATATATATGTATTTTAACTCAGAGCTGTGTGTGTGTGTGTGTGTGTGTGACAGTAATTTGTCTCTCCCTCTCTCTCTCTCTCTCTCTCTCTCTGTGTGTGTGTGTGTGTGTGTGTATGAGAGTGAGTGGGTGAAAGGTGTTTATCTATATGGATGCATGTGCTTGAAAGACGGAGAGAATGTGTGTGAGTGTTTGTGTGAGCCTTGATTATATTTGTGGGGGTGTGTGTGTGTGTGTGTGTGTGTGTGTGTGTGTGTGAGATGGTTATCAGTGTGTGGATGAGCCCTCTGCAGGTGCAGCATTAATGCTGTATTACACTGGAGTGTTTCCTCTCTCTGAAGTCAGTCTCCTGTATGTTGGTGTGTTTCTCACCACACTGCTGCGAGCGTCTCTCCTCACACACACACCTCTAGAGACGGAGGTGGAGTTCTGTTCATCAGTGCTGACGCTCTTTTGATAAATATGGAGAAAGAAAAAAATGCCTCCTCTGATTTGTCACTGAAAATGTTTGATGATTTCCTCTTCTCTTTCTAATAAGGTCATAGTGAGTGTGATTGGCAGCTGAGCTGTCTCCCTCCCTCTCTCTCTCTTTCTCTCTCTCTGTCTCTGTCTCTCTCTTTCTTAAGTCTCTCTGGGGGAGAGGAGGTGAGGCTTGTTCTGCTGCTAAGTTTACAGACTGTGTGCAGGTCAGAGGGAGATGGACAGCTGTGTGGCTCTCATTCTTCTGTGCTCCACAATCTCACTCAAAACAGCTGGTAAGTACACGCTCTCTGTCAGTATAAGGTATAAATTCAGATGAATTCACAAATCTAAAATATTCAGAATTTTCAGTTTTCAAGTGTTATATTAGATTATTTGTTATGATAATTTGTTGTGCGCTCCTAAATATAAAGAGTCTACTTTTGTTTCCCTAAAGAACCGTGCTTGAAAAAGACATTCATGAGTTGGAAGAACTTTGTTTCTTTACCAGTATAATTATTCTTCCGAGAACATTTACTTTATTTATTTATTTTACGTTTAAAGGTTCTTCTCACTCACACATATTATTCTAAAATAAATAAATAAATAAATAAAAAGTACCATCAGTTGAAAGATTTTTAGAAAACCATACCAAACATTCCTTTTTGACATCTTTATTTTAAGAATATAACTGACTCACTGCAAATAATCTAACATGTATTGTTATTAATTTTATTATTATTAATAATACATCTTATTCTTTCTTACTCTGAATAAATCATTAATTAATTAAAAGTATTTTTATAATAAAAGTTCTAATTATTTTACTAGAAATTACATGAAATAAAAATATTTTATATTTTGTTTTTTTATAATATTTCAAACATTAAATCACAAACACTCTCTCTCTCTCTCTCTCTCTCTCTCTCTCTCTCTCTCTGTCTCTCTCTCTCTGTCTCTCTCTGTTGTACAGTCACTGTGAGGTTGGTGGATGGGGGCAGTCGCTGTGCTGGGAGAGTGGAGGTTTATCGCAGTGGACAGTGGGGAACAGTGTGTGATTATTATAACTGGGATATGACAGATGCTGCAGTGGTGTGTAGAGAGCTGGGCTGTGGAGAGGCTCAGAGTATTGCTAAGTTTGGTCCAGGGTCAGGACCAATATTGATGGGATTAGTGGGGTGTCGTGGATCGGAGTCTACACTGAACAGCTGTTACTTTACTTCAGATTATAGTCATTATTGCACTTCTCATGATCAAGATGTTGGAGTCACCTGCTCAGGTAGGCTGAAAAACAAGGCGTTAGTCCTGAAAAACAAATATCTATCACTCACAATAATACAAAAGTATCTACAATAATCAGTAACAAATATTTTTTTTCACTTCAGCTCTAAATGTACCCTAAAAATATGTTTTAATCTTTGATTTTTTATAGTTCAGGTTTTTGCTGAAATAGATGTTTACACTGTAGTGACCAAATCATGGAGCTAATTTCATCTAGTAGCTTTTACCTATTAGCTGTGAAATTTGTTACCATCTCTTTTAGAGAGCTGTTCATCTTAGAGTACATTTTGGAATTTGGCCATACAAACTTGAATAATGAAAACTAGGGGTAGGAATATCTAGGCACCTCACGATTCGATTTGATTATGATTCAGAGGGCTGCGATGTGATTATAAAACGATTATTTTTTTTATACATGATTGGGGGGTGGGGTTAGGGTTGGGGGGGGGCGGTCGCTGTGTCAGTAAAATATCTTTAAGACGGGACGTATGGAACATAGCACAAAAGCCCTGGTTTGCAATGCCTGAGAAGTGGTGTGCAGACTGTAGGTCACATAGCAGCAAGGTTTCGCCTGGCTAGTAGCGAACGAAAAGGTAAAGAGAAAGACAAACATTTGGAGATGAACAAACTTATTTGCATTCATAAGCAGCGCAGTTTGTTTCCTGGTACGTTAAATCTGCACCGAGAGACTGTCAAACACTAAAAAGTGGCGAAGCTGAAGTCGCTTCTCTTTCTAATTTTCCCATTCCACCTTAAATGGTGCAGCTTTTACATTCAGTGCCTCAGTCAGAATTTAAGGTGGAACAGGAAAGTTCAGCAAGAAGCTGGCGAATGAGAAGCGACTTCAGCCTCGTAAAACAGTCGAACACTGAGAGACGTTTTACAAGAAACTATTCAACTTTTGAGGAAAAGTTTTTTGGCGGAGATGGAAGCAAAGCGACTATTGCTAAAGCTTAAAGCAGAGCAGAGTAAATCTGCATTTTCGTTTATATTGTTTAGCCTATACTAGGACATTATCACATACTGACACATACTGGACATTAAATGTTGTGGCTCCCAAGGTGGTTTGATTTTTACTGAAAGGACAAAATGGCTCTTCTTAACATTTGTGTTGTGACCACTGACCTAACCTGGCTTTTAATGCAGAGGGAGCCAGTCGGATTTCTCGCTCATTCAGTTGTGTTTTTTTGCTATGTGCCGCCACAGACTGTCCGGGCGCTGCACTTACCCACTTTGAATTTCTGCCCTTTATGTTCTGTCAACATCATGTTATAAATTAAATATTTAGAAAATAGATTTTTAACATTTACGAATCGATTCAGAATCGTCCGCATCATGATGCATCTAAGAATCGATTTTTCCCCACACCGCTAATGAAAACTAATATTCCATCTAAACATTTTGGGCTTCACTTTAATTAAATAATTTAAGTACATTAAAAAGCGGGAGAGGTAGAAATCTTGCAAAATGGCTTATACACACTGAACAATGTTAAGATCCATTGTCATATGCTGTTATTACTTTTCACGATGTTTTTAATATCTGTAAATGTACTATGTTCTTTCTTAATGTCATTCAAATACACACAGGTCACAGAAAGTCCAGACTTGCTGATGGTCCTTATCTCTGTTCTGGGAGAGTCGAGGTGCTTCATGTGAATACCTGGTCCACAGTGTGTGATTCTGACTTTGACCAGCAGGATGCAAAGGTTGTGTGTCGAGAGCTGGGCTGTGGGATTGCTATGGAGGTGCTGGGAGCAGCTGCTTTTGGCAGAGGGCAGGGTCAAGTATGGTCAAAGAATCTTCAGTGTAGAGGGGACGAATCTGAAATTTCTTTGTGTCCAACATCATCTTCACTCAAACACAACTGTCAACATGAGAACGATGTGGGTCTTATATGTTCTGGTTTGTATAAATAATTGATCTCTCATTAAAATAAAATATTATATGTTCAGTAGGTATTTCACACTCAGTGATTTACAGGAAATGATTTGTATTTGTCATTCTGTTACCTGTAATCCTTTTTATGCTGTTTCACTAAAATTTTAGTTGTTGCCACATAGGGGCTCGACTGGTGAACGGATCTGACTCTTGTTCTGGTCGAGTGGAGCTCAGGTATCTCAGTGAGCCCACAGTGAGCACAGTGTGTGGTGTAAGCTGGGATATGAGAGCTGCCAGTGTCCTCTGTGGTCAGCTGAAGTGTGGGAGTGCTGTGGCTGTGTTGGGGTCAGACTGGTTTGGGGAGGGGAGTGGCCGGATCTGGGTTGATGTGTTTGATTGTCAGGGGAACGAAACACACCTGTCGGAATGTCCCATTTCATCATGGAGTCGAACTGCATGCTCTCATAAACAGGATGTTGGAGTCATCTGTAATGGTGAGCTCTCAAAACGTCTACTCTATCTATATAACAAATAATATAAAGCATATTTGTAAATTATTGTATCATGGCAGCCACACCGAAATATAACATTTTGTTTCGTTAAATGATCTTGAATTTTCTTCAGGTTCCTCTCTGGCATTTCATGAAGGGAGTGTGCGGTTGTCTGGAGGGATGGAGTGTGAGGGGGAGGTGGAGGTGTACTTCAGGCAGGACTGGAGGAGAGTTCTGCTGGACTCCTGGAGTGAGTCTGAGGCCTCTGTGGTCTGCAGACAGCTGGGCTGTGGCTCTGTGTTCAGCTTCTCCAGCTCCTCTCCATCCAGTCCTGAACACAGACACATGTGTGTGACAGGTTTCAGTTGTTCTGGGAGTGAAGCTCATCTGGGGAACTGCAGCAGCGCACAAGCAGTCAGCTGTAGCTCCAGAGAACAGCTCTCAATCACCTGCTCTGGTAAGCGTTATGACACTGAAACATTGCTCTAGTTAAAAAAAAAAATTCAAATGCTGATGTGACTTGATCTATTTGGATTTACTGAAAAAAACAAGCATCAATATAATTTTCACAACAGGAAGAATAAAGTGTTTATCTTGTTTTAAAATAATATGTTTTGGTATATTTCTATGTAGTTGTTTGCTGTAATGTTTGTGTGTTACAGCTCTTAATCTAGCTATCAGGCTGGTTGGTTCTGGGGGAGACTGTGCAGGAAGGCTGGAGGTTTTCTACAACGGCTCATGGGGGACAGTGAGTGATGACTTTTGGGATATTGAGGATGCACAGGTGGTCTGCAGACAGCTGCAATGTGGAGTGGCCCTCAGTGCTCTGGTACCAGCCTGGTTTGGACCTGGAACTGGACCCATATGGCTGAATGAGGTGGAGTGTGAGGGGAACGAGGCGTCCCTGTGGAACTGCAGATTTCAGCTGTGTGGAGAGGATGAATGTGGACACAAGGAGGATGTAGGAGTCGTGTGCTCAGGTAATGTGTGCTAACTGTTGCTAATGTTGAAGATTTCAGTGTTTTGTGTAACTTCAATTAACAACTAAAATGCAATTAACTAATTAACAACTAACTAATACTAATTACATTAGACTTAAAGCAGTGATTTTAGAATGATTTAAATTTTTTTACAAAGTAGTTGTATGGGATCCTTGGTAAAATCGCGATTCTTACATGTGATGAAAAATAAAACATCAAAAAAAAAATTTCTAAACAACAATAAATATATAACAGAAAACAAACTTATATACATTTAAATGCACAATTAATGTTTATTTGCTGTACTATAATTGTTTAACTTTTTTATAAAAAAAGTGCCAAAGTTAAAAAAGTGCTAAAATTACCAGAAAAAATGCCACATTTAGTTTGTTCCTTGTAGAAGAGGAGTTATTTTCACTTAGAGAAACAATGCAACATGTAATTTGATAGGAGTCGTTGGAATTGTTTTCTTTTCAAAATGCATTAAATGCCACTTTCATTATTTACATTTTTTTCATGATATTGAGAGTGGACTTTATACATGCATAAAATATCATTGCTATTTTATAATTTTTACAGCATTTGTTAGGAAATAAAAAAATGTACATGTACAAAATACATACATTACATTTCATTCCAAACAAAAATTTTCTTTCTCTCATCAGAGTTTAAAGAGATCAGACTCACTGAGGGCTGTGAGGGAAATCTGGAAGTGTTCTACAATGGAACCTGGGGTAATGTTTGTGTAAATGGGATGGATGAAGAAACAGCAAGTTTGATCTGTCAGGAGCTGAACTGTGGAAGATCTGGCAGTGAGTCTTGGGCCAAAGCAAGAGTGGAATCATCTCCTAACTGGCTGGATAATCTGAAATGTAGGAAACAAGACTCCACTCTGTGGCAGTGTCCATCTTCACCCTGGAGACAGAACAACTGTGATAATCGCACTGAGGTGGCTCGCATTACCTGCTCAAGTAGGCAGATCTTTTGTACAATTTGTAGTATTTTAAATGATAATGATAAACTTAATGAAGGAAAATATTGAGTCTATAACACTGAACACAGTGAGAGACAAATACATTGCATAATTACATTACTGTATTTTCTTTCTACAAATAAAGGAAGCTCACCACATGCTGATCAGACATGCTTTTTATCTCCATACCGGAAAGAGTGCTCAAGTAAGACATAACTTATTATAGTAAATCTTTCGTAGAGGCAAGTGTTTTTGGCTTTTAATTGTCTAAACCCACATATTTATATTGTCTTATACAACCATTGTGCAAAAAAATCCAGACTCACTTCAGTCACGCACTAGCAAGAGCAACCAGGGTTTTTCGTGACCTATGAGCGAAGTTCAAATGATAATGACAGTGAAAACTAGTGTGATAATAAATAACTCAGGCTAATCTGACTCATAGAGCTTAACTAATTTATTATATTTATTTTAGTAAGCTGCCAGTGTACTGTACCTGTACAACTGAGACATAAATTTGTATGTGAAAAATTATTTATGTGAAACTTAACTGTAACCTTTGAAAAAAGGTTGTATTTACTTAATGTTGATCAAATTACTGTGGGCTATTTATATAAATGTTGTGTTAATTTCTGGGACTAAACTGGTTTGTCAGTGTTTGTGTATCTTTCTAATGTGTGATGTGTGTGATGTAGATCACCTGCCTCTCAGGCTGAGGGGAGGAAAGGGAAGCTGCTCCGGGAGGCTGGAGGTGTATCATAATGCTGAGTGGGGGTCCGTCTGTGATGAACTGTGGGACAAGAGGGACACTCAGGTTGTCTGCAGGCAGCTGGGCTGTGGGCCGGCACTGAGTGCTGATAGGAGTGCTGTCTTTGGTGCTGGTGAAGGGCCTATCTGGCTGAACAGAGTGAAGTGTAGAGGGAATGAGATTCACCTGTGGGACTGTCCTCATTCCCTGAAGGACCACACTGACTGCTCCCACAGTCAGGACGCTGGAGTCACCTGTGCAGGTCAGAGGAGTCTGCTGGATTTTGAAAGATCTAATCATATAACATTTGTCTCAGCAGTACTAATCTGCAAGACAACATAGAAAAATACATTGATGCACTTTTTGTTATTATTGCTTATTGCTAGTGTTTATTTTGTAAAAACATGGTTTAAATTTTGAAGTCAAAATCAGAAATGCCAATTAACACTAAAGACTTCATTTTGCTTGTAGTATGTTTGTATTTTCTGTTTTGTTTTTGTGTTTGTAGACAAGTTTGTTCCTTCTACTGAAATAAAAAACACCATCTCCACCTCCATAGGTACTTTTTATGCCTTAAGTCATTTTTCTAATTGTTTCTGAATAAATTGTTCAGTGCTTTACACAGTTTCTGTTTTCATTTCAAGGTGGTCAGCCAACAAAGAGGATTCCTTCACAAACTCTTCCACCAGCTGTTCCGTCCACCTATCAAGTGTCTCTCCTGGTTCTGGGAGTGGTGCTCTTCCTGGCTTTAGTGCTTCTGGTTGTGGTGTTCTACCAGAACAGAGTGCTCAGGAGAGGTAGAGAGATTCAGAGATCATCTACAATCCACTTTCTGTACATTCTCTAAACATCATTAGTCCTTCAATCTGTCATCAGTCTTCTCTTCTACTGAACTGGCTCCATGTTTCTCTCTGTCTCCCTCACAGTGCTCTCTAAGAGGAGGCGTAAGACTCTGACTGAGGCAGTCTATGAGGAGATCGACCGCAGATACATCACTAAAAGAGCCACTGTCTCAATTGAAAGGAGTGAGTAATATATGGAGTGTTCTACATGAGACTTATTGTATTGAATTGAAATATTGTTACTATCCAAAGAAAAGCAAGTATCCCCAAAATGGAGTAGGAGAAGCCTGCAACATTCTGTACTCTTAATGTAAGTAAATGTAAAGATATCTTATTTCAAGCAAATTGGGAGCACAGTTTTGTACTGGTCCATTCATCATGAATTTCTCACAAAAGTTCGACAAAAAAATGCAAAAGACAAAAAATGGAGATTCTTTTGTTTTTTTTTTTGGACAACAATAATATGTTTACATTTGAGATCACTTAATCACACATTGCAACGCATGATCATTTGCCCAGTGCCATTTCCAACCATTTAATTAGTATACCTTTCTCAGTGTATTAATAATGAGAGTAAATCAGTTAAATGAGAGTTTAGTGTATATTAGATGCAATGTTCAGAGTAGATCTACATGTAGTGGAATGTGTTAATTCTGCTGATAAGCATCTGACTTTAGTATCTATTCGGCAGCTGAAGTTAAACTGTGCAATTCCTGTAAAACTTCCATTTTTGTACATACAGTAAAACCGCACAGCTGCAGGTGTGTATGTGAGAGAGAGAGAGAGAGAGAGAGAGAGGAAGGAAAGAAGGAGGGGTAAGGGGTGTGTGTGTGTGTGTGTGTGTGTGTGTGTGTGAGAGAGAGAGAGAGAGAGAGAGAGAAAGAGAGAGAGAGAGGTAGAGCAAGAGAAAGAGAGAGAGGAAGGAAGGAGGGGTAAGTGTGTGTGTGCGTGTGTGTGTGTGAGAGAGAGAGAGAGACAGAGTGAGAGAAAGAGAGAGAGAGAGAAAGAGAGAAAGGAAAGAGGGGTATGTGTGTGTGTGTGTGTGTGTGTGTGTGTGTGTGTGTGTGAGTGAGTAAGTGACCACATGGTGGGAGTGACCAATTACTGAGTGAGTGAGTGACAGCATAGGCATTTGAGTAAGTGATCGATTGAGTGAGTTACTGAGTAATAGTATTAGTGAGGGACCAAGTGAGTGAACAAATTAGTTGGTGACTGAGCCAGCGAGAAACTAAGTGTTTGTCCATGTTACAAAATGAGTGTGTGTCCGAGTGATGAGTGAATTGCCTAGTGACAGAGTAATCAAGTAAGTAAGTGAATGGTTGAAGGAGTGAGTGACCGAGTAGTGAACATGTAACCGAGTGACCAAGTTTGTGACCAATGGAAGAAACCAAGTGAATGAGTGGCTGAGTGATTGAATGAGTAATCAAGTGAGTGACCAAGTAAATGACCGATTGAGTGGCCGAGTAAGTGACCAATGAGTGAGTGACCGAGCAAATGACCAAGTAACTTAGGATACTAACTTACTTGGATGCTAACTTACTTGGAGATACTTGTTTTTTTGTTGTTGTTTTTTATTTGAGTAACCAAGTAAGGGACCATGTAAGTGACCGATGAGTGAGTGACCAAGTAAGTGACCGATGAGTGAGTGACCAAGCAAATGACCAAGTAAGTTAGCGAATGACTGAATAACTGACCATGAGTGACTGACCAAGTGACTAACTGACCAAGCGAATGACTGAGTGATGATGGAGTGACCAAGAAATTAACAAATTAAGTGGCTAAGTGAGGGAATGAGTGACTACGAGTGAGTGACTGACCAGAAGCAACTGAGTGAATATCTAAGTGACTTAGTGAGTGAGTGAGTGAGTAAATGACCAAATGAGTGAACAAATTAGTGACTGAGTGAGTAAGATAGAGAGCAACTGAGTGACGAAGTGAGCAAACAAGTGACGGAAAGTCAGATGATTGAGTTAATGAGTGAGTGAGCAAGTGAGTGATCAAGAGAATGAATGAGTGAGCAAGTGAGTGAGGGAGTAAATGTATGAGTGATCAAGTGTATGAGCAAGAGTGAATGACTGACAGTAGGCGAGTGAGCAAGTCAGGCAGTGAGTGAGTGACAGTGTGAGTGTATGAGTGAGTCAATGAGTCAGTAAGTCAGTCAGTCAGCAAGTTAGTAAATGAGTGACAGAATTAGTGAGTGAGTGAGCAACTGAATGAGTGAGTGAATAAGTGAATCATAAGTCCATCTCATTTTTCTAACTGATTAGTGATTAATTATGTAATTTGATTAGTGAACTAATCAATGAGCACACAAATGAGTGAGCAAGTGAGTCAGTGAGTAAGGCTTACAGTGAAATAGGTAACATCATAAATGCTTATTCCAATAGACATATCACATGCTATAAAGGCTACATTTGCCAGTCTTGATCAATGTTAGCTAAAGTAACCTTCATGGCAGATGATGCTGATTGGAATAAGCATTTACACTAAAGTGTAAATTACACTAACATTTAACAAGTGTTATCATGAAATTATACTGTCAAAGTACAGAGCCCCAGAGGTAAAAATATAAATTATTTTGAAGGAATGTTTTGTAGTTTTTGCGTAGCATTTTCTTTTATGAGTGGCCATATTTCTTACTTTGTTCCCACGATAACAATTCATTTTCTTAATTGGTTGGTACACACAGCTGAAGTTTCACTACTTCACTTTTATCTAAATGACCATAATATGTAAGGTTGTAGTATACAAGGAATAAATATCTTTATGTTTCTAAGTTGGTTTGACATTAAGAGGTCTAATAATTAAAGTTTAATAGCTTTATATGATTATTAAAAGCATCATAGAATGAATTACTTTACTGTTTACTATTTATTGGTTTTACTTCCTGAGGTTCTTAATGAGACCATAACTATATATAATGAATACAGTGGAAATCCATATATATATATATATATATATATATATATATATATATATATATATATAACATTGATGCTTAACATTTTTTCCTGAAATTCTGCAATGGCCCCCTAACACTGCAACTTGACGTGCAAGCAGAAAAAGTGCTAAGCGGATCTTCTGTGTCTTCATCTCTGTTAAATATAATCATTACAAAGTGCAGTTTAGTTAAGTTTATGGTCTCAGTTTGTTGGCTGGTTTCATTTCATTAAACTGCAATTGCACCGATGAATGTACGTGCTGTTTGCTGATTCTGATGCCCAGCTGTGAAGTGGAGCTACAGTGTCCTCATAACCCACCCAAATCAAAATCAAACCTAATGAGTGCATCTCTGTCCATCATTGCATAAATCTAAACACATCAAAACCCATTGATTTCCGGGTGTAACAAGGCAGAACAGACCAGGCACTTGTGGTAAAAGCAAAAGTTGGAGATTTTAATGCAGGGGTGTCTAATATTATTTACAGAGGGCCGGTGTGGCTGCAGATTTTCACTCCAACAAAGCAGGAGGTCACCTGATGAAATGTTTGAAGACTAAGACCAAGTGATTAAACTAGTAGAATCAGGTGTGCTCCAGCTTGTTTGGAGTGAAAATTTGCAGCCACACTGGCCCTTTGAGGATAAAACTGGACACTCCTGTTTGAATGCAACAAAGATCAACCAAACACAGGGGATAGACGAGGTCAAAACTGAGAGGTAGAACACGAGAAACAGTAGACTATGCCAAAACAACGTCAAAAAACAAACCAGGTCAAACAGGTACCAGTAGGAAAAAATGAAAGGTATCACTAAAATAAACTGTGGCAATACTTTGCGACAAGTGAGTAAAATTAACCCGTCTTTATAGGGCAGAGTTGATGACATTCAGGTGAGGCAGGTTAGAATTCAGATGAATATTGGAGAAAGGTCAATGATTGGCTGAGGCTGGTGGGGTGAGCGTCACATGCTCTCCCTAAAGATTCTGGAAGTTGGAGTCCAGGAGAGGATTAGTGTCCTGAGTGTTAATGACTACAGAGCCAGAGGGAGGCATGACACAGTGAACCAGCCTATTTGTGCACAGGGCAAATAAAACTGTATCTACTAGCCTACATTAATTTTGCTTGCAGACATAAAAGAAAATGTGCACGTAATTAAAAGAAAATGAGAGAACAAATTGTTAATAGTCGGAACAAATTAAGAAATCGTGGCCACAAATTAAAGAACATATGCACACAAATTGCAAAACGTTCCCTCAAAATAATTTTTATTCTTACGCCTGGTCCCCTGGGGCTCTGTATCAAAGGATGGTCATAGTCAGTTAAATTGTTCCTGTAGCTGAAGTTCAACAAAATAAAAAGTCAACTGATGATAAGATAAAATGTCGTGTAAAGTCAGACATCAACATTTAAGCATGTGATATACACATGCACATTCTATGCTGTATTTTATTGTAGTTTTTAAAGAATGGATCCATTGAACCCAGTGACACCTGAGCAACAACTCATCAGTGCATATGTCTAGCATGATGTGATTATGATTGTGTAAGTTTAATAAAATTTAAATAAATAACAGAAGCCGTTCTATTTCTTCTTACATATTGCAGTAATGCACGAGCATCACAATCACTGAATGTGCCAAACAGAGCTGAGCTCTAGCGCTGTAATTTGATGGAAACATAAACCGTTTTGGATAAAATCTTTGTGAAATCCATTTAACTGTAAGATGATGAAAAAAGTGAGAAACAGTTACACATTCTTGCACCGATCCTCAAGGTCATTCTCATCGTAACCTTCTACTGAGTTTCATGACTATGTGAGTATTGGTTGGTTTATTCCTGCTATTTGGTGATGTTGCGACAAGGTAAATCAAATAGATTTGTTTACATTCCATTATACCTCAAAAAGTAGCGTAGGTTATTTGCCATTATTCATCTTTTTAAAATCTGACATTATCTGTCTAAGCATTCTGTCACAGAGGTATCTAGTTGAGTTTGTGTAACCCGATACAATTGTCAAAACTGAGGAAGCTAAATCAGACATTTGTACAGTAGGTCTGTTCCATGTAGATGGGTTTGTACTGAATTTGTCTTGCACGATGTTTAGTCTACTGTTTTGCTAACTGACTATTGCTAAATGTTCTCAAAGGCACACATTTGCACCTGGCAGCTGGCTAACAACGTCTGTAGTTTAATGTGGTTTGCTAATCAGAGTTAAATTGGTTTGTTATGTTAGGTAGGTTTTCTGTATAAATGTTATTGTACTATATGGTATCGTACACTTAAAAACAAGTGGTGAGATGATTCAAACAGGTAAAAGGACAGGAAGCGTTCTTAATGTCAGATGGACTTGACTGGGTCTTGCTCTCATTTGGACTCGATCTTGACGTGGACTCTGCCCCTTTTAAACTCGGCCTTGACTCCGTCTTGACTAGTCATGGTCTTGGCTTGGACTTGTCTTGGACTTGATTAAGGCGGTCTTGACTATAGCCCTACTATTTTTTATGTCTTTCCCAAAGATCTAAATGCGGGTGTCACTTTAAACACTGTTTCTATTGAAACACTAACCAATTGAACATTCTTTGGGACTGGAGCTCTGGAGATCTTTTCCTTGTGTCATCTTGATCTAAATTTGAGGTAAACTGGGCCTGATCAGCAATTTATTCATGCAACATAGAATGGTAGGATGCTAATTGCTTGGCTGTATTATGCAGTACACCTGTCTGGGAGCATCTGGAGTCATTATCTTTCTTCACTCATTAATTCAGGGGTGTCCTGATTTTTTTTTTATTTATCTCCCATCAGTAGTTCACAATGATCCACAGCACTCAGAGGACTGTGAGAGGTTCTGCATTCTGAATGTGTTTGATGACTGTTCTGCTCTCCTCTAACAGGAAGTATCCTCTCTGAAGAACAGCATTCAAGATATGAGGATGTGGCTGAGGAGCTTCTCTCAGGTAAGAGGACCAGAACACTTATGTGTTTGTCCACTGATAAATATTACAATCACAGTTTGGAAGTAAGAGAATTCATCACAACATCCATGTCTCTTAAGTCATGGTTGTGTGAAAACATTTACAGTCCAGTATATCATACATAATAAATAATAGCATATGACAATGATTTTAATTTATATAGCACTTTTTTAAACCCATGGATTTTTTCACAACAGTTATAAAATACACAAATCAACAATAAACAAAATTCAACACACAAAAAAAACTCCTTAGCTATGGTGTAAAGTCTCTCAGCCAGCCAGCCCAGAAAAACTCATTAGTTGTGGTTTAAAGTTTGTCAGTCCAGCACAGTGTGGTCATTTCCCTGCTCAAAGTCACCTACCACACCTGGCAATTAACAGATTAGTTGAATCAGGTGTGTTTTGAGAAGGAAAATACTCAAACTGTTATGGACACTGACCCTCCAGGACTGGAACTGAAGAACTCTGTTGTCTCTCTATTAGACTTTCTATGCTGGTTATACTTTGTGGTTTTCTAATAACATTTTCTGCTTTTTTTCTGTTTTGAAGTGAAATTCTCTTTACACAGTCAGTAAAACAGCAGTTTGTGTGGACAGAATCTATTAATCTGTTTTTATTGCTTTGGCACAAAGTGCATAAATTCTTTTCTCAGTCAACTCAACCATCAACAAGACTCTGCATATCTACGTAATTCTATACATGTTTACAGACTCTTTAAAAAAATGTTCAATCTAAGCTCAAAACCTGAGCTTAACATGCTCTCCACCAAATGACCCATGGCATGACACAACAAAACACAGGCAACAAGTTCACACATCCCAAACTAGCAACCAACAACAAAAACAGCAACAAATGTCTGTTCAGCGAGGAGGGGGAGGCACACGCAGCATAGCTTTGCATGCCACGCCCTTGAAGCCCCTTCTGAAATGCAGAGCAAATAGAAGATGCCACATACCCCCACCCCCACCAACCCAAGGGTTAGCTGTCTCAGTGGCCTTTACAGTCCAAACAATGTCTCGGGTGTATGGGAGAATGTCACCTCAACCATGGTCTCTCTGCAGCAAAAGTTTCAGAATGTCCACTGTCCTGATGAACACAAGTGCCTATTCCCTGGCCATGACCACTCTTGACTCCTTTCTTGGCTGTGTCTCTGGTGCAACAGCTTCTCCTGGACCAACATAGTCTCTCATTCACTAGGCTGGTATGGTGCAAGCTGGTATCTATGGCCACAAAAACATAGATGTTCTAAGTGTCGGTACTGGTGAAGGGGCCCAGGACATCCACAGCGTCTCTCTCCATTGGTGCGGTGGCGCCAGCTGGGGTAGTCCCTACTTTGTTGCGCACATGTCACAGCAATGCAGTTCCACGTCCATTTGGTAGCCTGGACGGTAGAACTTCTGCTGTAACCGCTTCAGGGTCTTGCCCATGCCCAGGTGCTGCTTGGAGCCAACTGCATGCACTGGAGAGTTTGGCATCCTTCTCCTGAGCATCGGAGTAACCATGTCAAGTTTGGTACCACAGGGAGCAACAGCGACAGCAGTGGCATTGCCTCTCAACTGTCTCCACTTTCTCCTTGAGGCATGCACAGAACCAGCACTCCCCAGCAGCACACAGTTGGCAGGACAGTGCATCAGTGTTACTGGGCAGGTGCCTAGCAAGGTGTCAGATGGTGAACTGGTACTCCTGTAGTGCCATTATCTATTTCCTGATCTGACCCTTGGACTCTTTTAACTTCATTAGCCTGGTCAACAAGGTGTGATCAGTTTACAGAACAAAGTGGACACTGTACAGGTAAGGTTTGAAATGGCCCCACCACGATGGCTAAAAGCTCCCTTTGCATCACACAGTAGTTGAACTCTGGCTTACACAAGTGCTGGCTGTAGTACACAATGACTCTCTCATTTTAGTCCTGTACTTGTGAAAGGATGGTGCTAATGCCCTATCATTGGCATCTGTGTCCATGATGAATGCAATACCTATCTCTGCTCCTCTGATAAACCCAATCCGCTCCCTGCCACAGCTTATGCACCACTTCCACCCTTGCACAAACCTCACCACTGCTACTCTCCATGCCTTCTGATTCCTCTATTGTTTATCGCTCCATCAATGCTGATGAGGTTGCTGCTCGTGTGCACCACCCACAACTGCCAGGGATCCATCCACCGGTACAGGTGCTGTGTGATCAGCTTCTCCTGCACTGGTGGCTTCATTTACAAACATTTGTGGTATTCTTGATCTGACAGCATGTCACACCCCCAGAGCCCACCAGCTCTAGCACTGTGTGTTCAGCTCCTCCAGTGCCAGTGGTTTCCTCCACCAAAGAAGAAGGACTTGCTGCTAGGGAGTTTTGACTCTCCACCTTGACTTTGCCATTGGCTGCAGCACACTGTCCTACTTACCTCTTCTCCAAGCCCAGCATTGCCTTTTTGAGGTCAAGCATGGCCCCAGCCACCAGGAAATCTAAGCCAAGTATCCTGTATGGGTGCACGTTATTTCGCTCAGGGCCCCCAGGACGACCAAGAGCCGTTTCCTACCCCTCATGTTGACTCAGCTGCTGGTGACAGACCTGAGTTGGACAATTTTCAGCAACCTTCAGCAACAATCTTGCGGGCAATGGCATCAGTCCTGAGTATTATTTGCTCTGTCACCCTTCCCTTGGGGGCCACTTTGCACATCACCCCCTCCTTGGAATCCTTTGCCACATAATACTGTGTTACTTGCTTTGATGTCTTTTTGATGAGGTCCATCGCCTCTGCTTTAAAGATGGTTGCTTAAAGGCTAGCTGGTATGACGAGCTGCAAGTGCCACCTCAGTTCCTCCAGTAGCAGAACATTCAGGAAATACTTCAGTGCCAACTCCTCCTGTGCTGCCCTCTTGGATGCGGGGTATGCCTGCCAGACCATTGTGTTCAGCTCTGCCGCCAGTATGCTTATCTGCTCTCCCTTCTGTATCTGTCTGCCCAGTAGCAGCTTCCTAACTGACAGTGCAGCTGGCATCTGCCCAAACCGCTGCAGCCATGAACCATGCCGCTAGGTCTCTTTGTTGCTCCTGTCAGCAGGTCCATGAGCACCTGGAGCATTTTTCATTCCAGGGCCAGGCTTAGCTGAATCAATGATGGCCACTGTCCAGCCGCAATGCTGGGCAACTACTTGTAGCTGCGCGGAATACAGCTCCCAGGCACCTTCGCCATTGCAGCATGGTAGGTGCTCACTGTCTCCTTCTCGCTTGGCTCCAGCTAGGCTCTGCCACTGGCTGGCAGTACACCTCCTCTTCACCACTGACTGCTGCCACGCTGTCTCTTTTGCTGTCTTCTCTACCGCTGCTGTGCAGTTTCTCTTGCTATCTTCTGCCAACTTCCCCAGCCAGCCTGGTTGCTCTTAGCTGGCTAAACCCGTCCAGAAGGGGGTAGGCATAACACTCAGTACCCCCATCCCCCAGGCTCTGTCTTTGAGTTTGCGCCTTTGAGTTTGCGGAACCACTGCTCAATTTCTTCTAATCCAGTAGTGATATCCCACTTCTGACACCAAATGTAATGTGGCAGTAAAGAATAACCAGAGAATGCCATTATTTCTTCTCAAGGAATTGCTCTTCCTTCAGCAGAAATGGCCACTGAAAACCAACCGGAGCAGCGAGGATGGTCACTTTCAACTTCTCTTCACGGTAGACACAAAACTTATGCCAAAAGATCCATGGCATGTCGCAACAAAACACAGGCAAAATATATGCACATCTCAAACTAGCAACCAAAAACATTAACAGTAATAAAAATAACAGTAAATGTCCATTCAATGAGGCATCCATGTTCCTAGACCCCCTTTTGAAACATGGAGCAAATGGCAGACACCACAGTATGAGTGTTGTAGTGCACTTTGAATGTGAGATGAAATGCTGTGCAGTTTTAAAAAAGTGAATTCAGTATTGAAAAATGCATATAACCAATTGTAAAAAAAGTAATAGAGAGTCTAGTTTCTCTGATTAAAGATTTGATTAGTGTCTACAGTGTCTAGTGTCTAAATGATTTCTGCAAATACACTTATTCTCATACTGTAGCTCACAAGACTCTTCTGAAATGTAAGATTATGAAATTATTCCTATATTAAAGCCTCTGTGAATAAATAAGAACATAGTCATTATATTTGTATACTATTATTTTTAAATTTGATTAAAAGCAATAAACTTTGCTGTTTTTGTTCCAGTGAAGGATAAAGGTGTGCTGGAAGAGTGCATGACTGTTTGTGACAGAGAGAAAGAGAAAGAGTTGTGAATGAATGAAATGAATCTTTTAGCCAACTGTGTCTGAACACATCAGAATTATACCTCCAGATTTAACCAATCTGTGCAGTGAAACACCACATACACAGTAGTGAGCACACACACACACTAGGGGGCAGTGCACACACTTGCCCGGAGTGGTGGGCAGCCCTATCCACAGCGCCCAGGGAGTAGTTGGGGGGTTAGATGTCTTGCTCAAGGGCACTTCAGTCACACACTGTCAGCCGAGGGGATTGAACCGGCGACCTTCCGGTCTCAAGGCTGGTTCCCTAACCTCCAGCCCATGACTCCCCCCTGGAGAGGGAGAGAGGGATACATTTCCTGTAACCAACCCAGTTCACAATGATCCACAGCACTCAGAGGATTGTGGGTGGTTCTGTATTCTGAACATGTTTGATGACTGTTCTGCTCTCCTCTAACAGGAAGTATCCTCTCTGAAGAACAGCATTCAGGATATGAGGATGTGGATGAGGAGCTTCTCTCAGGTAAGAGGACCAGAACATATGTGTGTTAAACTCCATTCAGTTGAGAAATATCGATACAATCACCATTTAAAAATTAGAAAATTCATTATAAATCCATGTTTCTTCATTCAAGTTTCTTTTAGCCATGTTTCTTTTATGACAAGAACAATTAAGGCTCAGAGTAAATACAATAATTCAAACACTGCATCAAAGGAGGGTGGCAAATAGTTATATGTATTTTAAAGTGATGTGTTTTGCTCTATTTACAGAAAAGTTTCTGACTGGAGAAAAAGCAGAATATTATGATGATGTCATCTCCAGCAGCCTGATAAGTGGGATCCTTTTTTGATTAATCACCTGATTTTATCTTTAAACATTAAACCACAATATAAAAATATGACTGCTCTGTTTGTAAAGTCAGCATCTATAAAGTCTGCATTTATTTGATTTAGGTGAATCAGCAAAAGAGGACACAGCCGAGAGCTATGATGATGCCTTCACTGCTGGACAGATCTCTGATAGTGTAGCAGGTGTGTATAGATAGAAGTTGAAATTAAGTACACATTGAACATCATTACAAATGCTGTGAAAATAGAATAATCAAATAGTTTGTATTTGTAATGAGTTTTTGAAGCATTTGTGGGGCTGTACTGTCCCTCACAGCAGTGGTCCACAGGAGAGTATTTTGGGGCCCACAACATATGTTAAACATACCTGCAAAATCTGACCAAAACAAACTTATTTTTATTGAATTACATTTTGTAAAATGAACAAATGTATTTGTAAACAAAACCAACCAGATTTAAAAATTCAAATGTAGTGACTTAATCAGTAACAATATAGGGTCATAAAAAACTCTGCATTCATTGATTATGTTGGAAACACTTTACAAATACAGTTGTGTAACATATGATTTTATATCCTTTAAACATCTCTGTGTTTTGGTGTAGAGGACGTAGCAGAGAATTATGATGATGTCATCACTGCTGATCAGAGCTCAACTATTGTAACAGATTTGACTTGTACTGTAACAATACTGTAATCTCAAACATGAACACAGTCACTGATGATACTGATGCTGATTTAATGACCTTTATCTCTACATTTTGACAGAAGACATGACAGATAACTATGATGATGCTATTACCGCTGGACCAAACTCCAACACTGTGACATGTAAGGTGTTATTAATGTTAAAAAATAAATTTAAGCTTTAACCCAGTTAAAATGTCAGTTTTATTTCTTATTGTTATCTTTCCATGTTGGTGTAGTGGACAAACCAGAGAACTATGATGATGTCATCACTGCTGGACAGGATGTAGAAGGAGTAAAAGGTGAGTGGCTGATCTTGTTGTTTACACCACTGAGGATGGTGGAGTATATGATTTTAATTACACATGAAGTCTTATGTAGCACGTCTACATTATTCAGAAATAAACAGTGTCCTCATTATTTTTATATGAGGCAGAACACTGCCTTTTTTATTAAGTACAGTCTTCATTCTCTCTTTAAAGAAGTGCATACATATCTATTCATGTGCAGACAGTTAAGATGACTATTTTATAAATCATAAATTTACTTGTACACTCATTAGTGCAGTTTGTATCACTGAGTGAGAAGTGTGCACATAAATAAGATTGGAAATGATTAGTGCAACGTTGCAATCTAGACAGGAAGTAATCAGTCTAAGAATCAATGGATAATGCAGATGTTCAAAACTGAAACAGAGTTGGTTGTGTTTTTGTTGGTTGTATCTTTTATTCAAGGACACAGAATAGATCTGTAGAGCTGAACGTTCTGGAGGGTCGGTGTTTACATTCTTAAAAAAGTTGGTCTTTTAAGGGTTCTTTAGTAAAGAAAATGGTTCTGTGTAGAACCATGAACACTCAAAGAACCCTTTGCATGATTAAAGGGTTCTTTGCATCATGAAAGCATTCTTCAGATTGATGGAGAATGTGTTGTAGATGGTTCTATATAGAACCTTTTTAAAAAGGTTATAGCACCAAAAAAGGGTTCTTCCATTTTAACAAGCTTGATATCGTAACAATAGATGGACCCTTTTTGGTGCAATATAGAACCCTTTTCAAAATGGTTCTATATAGAACCATCTACAGCACATTCTTCAACAATCCCTTTCATGATGCGAACAACCCTTTTCTTTGAGTGTTTGTGATCTCACAGTCTCACTGTCATCCATATAGGACCATTTTCTTTACTAAAGAATCTGTGAAGAACAATCTTTTTTTAAGAGTATAATGCAGTTTGGAGGTTTCTGCGTTCAAACACACTGTCTAAACATAGTAATTGACAGGTGAGTTGAATCAGGTGTGTTTGATCACTAAACTGAGAAACAAGGAAATCTGTGCTGGACACTGGCCCTCCAGAAAGTTGCATGAAGGACTACCATGAAGAGGAATCAGACTGAAGTAAACTCATTCAGTATTCACTGGCAGCTCTGTAGCTTCTTCTACACATGGATCATCTTAGCATTATGATGGAGTTTTGATAAATACTGAAAAGAAACTTTTAAAGAAGAACTTTGTGAGTTGCAGCCAAACAGTTAAACAAACTTACATAATGCTCTGTTTGCTGTTTTCCTCTTTGAGCATTTCTAGAATACATTAACTATATAAGAAAGATGTGTTTTTATTATTATTTCAAAGAGTTTTAATGCATTGTTTTACAGACTATGATGTAGAGGAGGAGCCTCAGACAGAACCTCAGACGGAGATGAACCATGTGACTGAGAGCGCACAGCCAGTGTCTTTCCTCAGGAAACTACACTCAAACCTCTTCAGACGCAATAAATAACATTATTATAGTTCACAATTCATTTTGTTATGATGCATAAATGGGATATAGTGGGTTAAAAAAACCCAAGTGTGTTAACAAATTATATTTTTTAAACATTTTTGTTTTAGTTCTACCAGCCTGAGTGAGCTAGAAACATTTAATTATACATCTCATTTCATTATTTATAAGATGATTTTGATCTTATTTTGATCTCTTTATCCAACTTTTTTATCTTCATAAAACATTTTGTACCTGATGTGATAAAGGTCATCAGTTAAAAGGTTTTCGGAGAAATGATCAATTTGTTGCTAAAACCTTCATTTTCAATTACAATTTGAGGAAATGATTGTTTTGGACTGAAGGTCTGCAGTTAAAGGGCTGTTTATTGTTGTTGTATATAATTTATGAAGGAACTGAACTGAACAGAACTGAAAGATGTTCTGAAGAATGTATAGCGTTCATCATTCAGAAACAGTGAGGAAAGTGCTGTTTCACAGTAAATAATTTTGTATAACAGCTTCTATTATCAATATTGGCTTTCAGAATCAAGCAACTGCTTATAACTGTTTATTGAGCAATAATGTAATGTAGATTAACAACCAAACATGCTGCACTGCAAAAATGGTTCATTATTTCAGTTTAAAACATTGTCTTCTTTTTTTTAAGGTAACAAGCACTGGGTTCACTGTTTTTTAAGCACAAATAAATAATTTGAATGAAATAAAAAAAACACAATCAGTTCAATTCTACATCAGCTAATGTAATGTAAGAGAGCTTAAACTGTATTTCCTTGTTCTGTCACCAAGTACTAAATACATTTTGTTATGACAACGCAATAAATGATTTTTACACAAGAAAGTGATTTGTTGTACACTGTGGAAAAACTTGCTAACTCAATTAGCATTTAAAGTCAAGCTAATATTTTAATCTTTTTAGAAATATTTTAAGGCTTTTTTAATTCGAGCAGTTGTGTTGATGCACATTTTCCATTTCTGTCAAAAATAGAATGAAAAAACTAGTTTAATAAGCAGTTCATTAATAAGTGTTTCTCAACCACTTCATTGCAAAGCAAGTACATTTTTGTACATTTAGGTTTTTTATTTATCAATTAACAGAAAAACTTGGACACAGGCAATATTTCAATATTCACAATGAAAAAAAAAACACAATTAATACATTAGAAACTCGCCATTTTTCAATTCCATACATCAAATCAGAAATTTATGTGTATAGATTACAGGTTGTTAAACAGTCGAACGATCCCACAACAGTACAACTGCTGCATTGACAATGCACTGAATGCCTTCTTAGGCCATTCTTAGGATTTTGTGGTGTACATGCTCACAGCTGCAAAGCTCAATGCTGTTGGACATCGATGGCTTGCTGCTTTATCCACATATGATTGTGATCTCCAGTATCGCCCAGGCCAACAAAACATAGACGCAGACCTGCTGTCAAGGAGCATTCCTGATGAGGACAACACTGGTGAGTGGGAGACGATACCTCAGTCTGGGGTGAAGTCTATCTCTCAGCGAGTGAGCATCCATGAAACCCGTGATCATCCTGTGAGATTGGTGGACCAATTAGGGGCATCTTCTGACTGTGTTCCAGACACTTATGCTTTCCCAACACACTTGGAGTTAAAGTCACTGCAGCAGATGTCAAAACCGGAGCTTAAAAGAGCTCAGGAAGAAGACACTGTGATAGGAGCTACTACTGAAGCTCTTAAACATGGAAAGTGGCCTGAGAATACGGAACCCAGCCCAGAGCTTTCTTGTATGAAATGAGAGATGGGGAGGTTGACCATGAAAGGTGGACTACTTCACCGTTTGAGCAGATGACCTTCAGCGGAAGAAGTCATTCAGCTTGTTCTACCAAAGGAATTCCGAGAGGTAGTATTGAAGTCTATGCATGATGACCTCAGGCATCTTGGGCTTGAGAGAGCAGTTGATTTACTGAGAAGCAGATCCTTCTGGCCTAAAATATCAGTCGATGCAGAAGAATACATAAAGAATTGTGGACAGTATATCACTCGAAAGGCTCCTTGTCAGAGAGCAGCTTTGCTACATCAGATTGTGAGCAGTGGACCAATGGATCTTGTCTGTATTGATTTTCTTTCAATGGTACCAGATTCCAGAGGCATAAGCAACGTGTTAGTGATCACTGACCATTTCACACAATATGCACAGGCTTCCCCATAAAGAGCCAGAAAGCTCATGTGGTTGCAAAAACTCAAGGGGTTGCAAAAACTAGTTGACAAGTATTTTGTGCACTATGGCCTGCCTGCTAGGATCCATTCAGACCAGGGAACAGACTTTGAGAGTCGTTTGATCAAAGAGCTCTTGAGATTGATGGGAATCCGTAAGTCAAGGACCACCCCATATCAACCTCAAGAGGATCCTCAACCAGAGAGGTTTAATCGAACCTTGCTCTCTATGCTCAGAACTCTGAGTCAGGGAAGACACGTCACTGGAGTCAGCCTGTTGGACACCTGGTTCATGCATACAGTAGCTCGAAGTGCGACGAGTTTGGAGAGAGAGAGCTGCTCCATTGCTGCTGCAAGCGGTTAGGGATTTTCAGCTTAAACTAAGCGTTTACAGTGACTTTTACCGCTGTTGAAGCTAAGATATTTTGGCTATTGAATAAATAACTGTTAGTAGTTACGATTTGTCCTACCATTTCCAGTAAATGATAAGTCTTGTAATCTATGAGGTTTTGCTAAAGATTCTTCAATACATCTCCAAGGAACTCTAGCGTGTTAGTCCATCCATAAATAGAGAGCTCTCATTTGAAATGCCCAGTGATAATGCTTAAAGTTTGAAAGGGAAAAACCACCGTTTAGTTTAGATTGCTGCAAAGTAGTTTACTAGGGCATTTACTGCTCCGTACGAATCTCGAAATCATTGAGTCAATATCTTTGAAATAATTTTGTGGAGAAGGCAAAGATAACATAAAGAACAGAAAATTGAATCGTGGGAGTATGTTCATCTTTACTATATTAACCTTGCCTTGCAGTGATAATGGTAGATTATTCCATTTCTGAATATAAGACAATGTCATGCAGAACTTTAACAAAATTCTCTTTAACAATTCTTGCTATATCCAGGTATATTTTAATATCTAAGTAAGTAAAGGAATCCCCTGTGGGAATACATGATGGCATGACAGCTGAACCTGGTGAAATATTAAGTGACATCAGTATAGATTTGACCCAATTAATTTTGTATTCAGACAGCCTTCTGAACTCCTTAAAAGACTGTAAAACCTGAGGGAATGAGGATTCGATTTTGGATAAATAAAGTATATCATCAGCAAAAAGTGAAATATGGTGAGCATGACCGTGAACAGTAATAGGAGTTATGAGGTTATTCTGCCTGATCATTTGTGCTAAAGGCTCAAGACAGAGAGAGAAAATGACCAGAGATAACGGACACCCTTGACGCGTACCTCTTTCAAACCGAAAGGGAGGGGATGTTTTAGATCCTGTCATTACACATGCCATTGGGTAATTATAAAGTGTCCTAATCATAAATATAAAACTGTTACCTGAGTAAAACACAGTATCTTAGAAGGTCTGTAAGATAGCTTAGCGTTTTCTCTCAGTGATAGGTGGGGGTGGTTGGAGGGGGAGGTGAAACATAATAACATTGGTCAATTTTTTTATAGTAGTTTTCTTCACCCACTGGTGATGTGTTATATTAGATAAATGCACTTATTTTCCAGACTATGATGACGTGGAGGAGGAGCCTCAGAGAGAGATGAATCATGACTGAGAGACCACAGCCAGTGTCTTTTCTCAGTAAATTGCATTCAAACCTCTTCAAACTCAAGAAATGATTTTATCATCAATCACATGTCCAAATATTTTATGGAGCATAAATGAGCTATAGTGGTTTAAACAGCCCATAATTTATATAAACAAATTACAGTTACAAATTACACATTTTTAACACTTTCTTTGAGTTTTTTCAATCTTAGACACTTTTACTGACACATCTCATCTGATTATAATCTTACTTTGATCTCTTAATTAAACCTTTTTTATCTTCATGGAAACATTTTGTGTCTGGAGTGATAGAAGTAGTCTGATTTTATGAGAAATTATATTTTTTCAGCAAAAGCTTCGTTTCAAATTACAATTTAAGCATATGATTGTTTAGGTTTGAAGGAATTAAAACGCTGTTCATTTTCACTGTAGATAATTTTTGAGAGTAAAGAACTGAAAGATGTTCTGGTCAGAAGTGGATTTTCAGTGTTTAGCAGTCAGAAACAGGAAAGTGCTGTTTCATTGTAACTAATTTGTATGACAACTTTCTATTTTCAGTGTTGGTATTCAAACTCAAGTAGCTATAACTGTTTATAGAGCCATTATAACACATAGATTACTCACCTAATATTACGTTTTTTCATCTCAAACAAAAGTAAAATAATACTTTAATGAAACAATATAAAGCAAAAGTTTATTTAAATGAACAAACACAATATTTTACATCAGTTCAAACCTCAAAAGCACTTCGTCAACTTTTGCCTGGTTCTACTTTTTACTGCTTACACTGTAAGAAAAGGATTCAGGACCTTCTCTCTTATGTTATTTACAAGCCTATAATGATTGTGTGACTATTATGCTGATAATTTGAGATGATTTTCACACAGGAATAATAATGACTGAAGGATGTATTCTGTATATGGAATTTCTTATGATTTAAATGTGTAATGTGTGGAATCTATTACTGTGGTGTGAGAGATGATTCTGTACTCCTCTCGTCTCTGTGCTGATCATTACACACAGATTATAAAGATACAGAGTATAAAGATGAGATTTATTGAGGTTTTAATACATGTTGCCTTATTTTTCTTATTTCTCATTTTCACTTTTTCTTTTAAACTGCTTCAGAAGCTTCTGTGACCTATTTTATCATAAGGGGCGGGTCCACACACTGGTGATGTCATGTTTAGATCATGTGACAAAAGGGATGCAAACCTTGGAAGATAAAGATTTGTGCTCATTGGTTAAAGCTGCTAAGGCTATGCTAGTCACATTCCCATAGTTAATACTAGTGTTGTAGTACTCTAATCAGGTCTTGATCACGAGCCTGGTCTTGGTCTAGTCTTAGTCTTGACCTCATTGAGAGTTGGTCTTTTCTTGATCATGGGGTAAGGTGGACCAGCCGAGTCTGTTAAGAGAGATAATATAAAATAATCCTTTATTAGTCCCACAACGGGGACCTTCACAGTGCTACAGCAGCAAAGGGATAGCAAGGCACTCAAGAAACAGTAGTAAAAAGAAGAGAATTAACGAAGTAATTGACCATGATAATTAATATGGTTACAGTTTGTTACTTGTTACTATATAGACAATATATATATATAATATTAAAAATATAAAAACATATAAAATATATATTAAAGATACATAAAGATATAAGATAAAAAATATAAACTCCATCCTTCACATAAACTCTTCACAAAAAAAAAAAATAAATAAACAATCATAAATAAAAAAGCATGATGCCTCCATATGAGGTAATTAGAAGCTGAATTATTATTGAATATCAATAAGAATAAACAGGGCTTTCTCTGTGCACTAAACTCTACCAGAAACTTCTCCCTAAACAGTCATTTTTACTGTAATACATAATGGACAATGTAGTAATATTTGACTTGTACTTATTTACCTACTTATATAAATAATGATAATACATGTACAATTAATTACAATCAAATTTCCTTTTTTTCCCCTGAAAAAAACCTTAATCTGGTCTCAGTTTTGTATCAGTCTCAGCCACTCCTGGTCTCAATCTTGACTCAGACTCGACTGCTAAAAGTCTTGATCTTGACTTGGACACAATGTGTCCTAGTCTCAGTCTTAACTCAGACCTAGCAGTTTTGACCACAACCCAAGTTAATATAATGCAGTACCTGACAGGTGTGTTGTGTGTTGATAAATACTGAATGGAAAAAAATGATCATGGAGAATCGTCACTCTTTATGTGCAGAAAATGGTGGGGGAGTTGGCAGTAAGTAACTTTAGACCAGGAAAAGAATGAAAAAAAGCAATGAAGGAAGACCAGCATTGCAAAGAACTCTGGAACCCAGCTGCACAGAGCAGACAAAAACTGGGTGAGGAGGAATCTGCTTCTATGTCAAGGAACACTGGTGTAAAGACGTCATGGTACTGTTAAAATCTTGCACTCCTCATCTAGAGTTACATCAACACTCAGAGTCTGATGGCCAACCAAATAATGACAGTAGAGAGAGGGATTCGGGACTCAGTACATCATTCTGAGAGACTTTAATAGTGCAAATCTAATGAAAGAAGTGCCCAAGTACAGACAGCATGTCACTTGTGCACAAGAGAAGGGAACATTTGGATCAGTGTTACACCACTGTTAAAAATGCCTGTTGCGCTGTCAAGCGCACAGCTCTCAGTCATTCTCACCACAGTCTCGTTCACCTCATCCCACCATACAGACAGTAACTCAAAACTAACAAGCCTGTCATCTCTACAGTGAAGAGATGGACCAGTAGGGACACTGAAAAGCTACAGGGCTGCTTTGAATCCACAAACTGGACAGTTTTTGAAGAGGTGACAGACAGCCTAGATCAATATACAGACACCATGACATCATTCATCAGTTTCTGCGAGGACAGCTGCATTTCAACAGTGTGGGTGAAATACAGCGAGGATAAACCAAGGTATTCAGCTGATCTCAGCTTCAGAGGGAAAAGGAGGCAGCATTCAGAAGTGGGAGCAGAATTCTCTACAGAGACCAAATATAAGATAGAAGAAGGACTACAAGGTGAGACAAACTCGCCTTCTCCTGAGCGACTGCCAGCTCACCATCGACCAGAATGAGTTCTGTGCAAATCTGACCACATAAACAACAATCTTCACAAGACTTCTCTGCTATTCCCTCAACCCTGCCCCCCCAACCCTGGCTCCTCTGCACCTCTGCACCTCTGCCCACTGCCCCTCCCCCGAGCAGGATGAGCAGGACGTTAATAGGCTTATTAGAGGACTGAAAAGGTGAGAAAAGCTCTGGGGCCAGACAGAGTCTCTTCATCCACCATCTTCAACAAATTACTGGAACTTTGCTCTGTTCCCATGTGCTTGAAAACTGTGACATCACACCTGTTGAGAATTGGTTATTAAATTGAAATATTGAAAATGAAACTGAAACAATATTAAGGAAATACATATTTAATTATTTTTTCTTTTCAAATTTCATGTGTCTCAGAGGACACAGTAGCCATGACAGCACATCAGCAGTCATGTCAAAATAGTACATTAAAAACAGACATCACAGGCGGATATTAGTGCTCTGCTGCCATCTTGTGTAGAAAAAATAATCATTGCAGTGATAAATGCACAATGTCTCTAAGAACTTACATGGATTAAAGTGTTAAAGTTAATGATTATGTTAAAACACATTGTGTTCTCTTTATTAAGTCATAGTTTATTCTGTATTTTTATTTTTTATTTATGGTTTATTAACATTTTGTTCTCTATATGACAAAAAAATGTCCAAAGAAAACCACTATTCACTCATTATTTACTCACTATTCACTTCTCTACTGATAATTGCGATCATTTATTTATTGTATTCATAATCAGTTAGTTGACTTTATTTTTTCATTTCTGGGTTTCTCTGTGTTCCAACTTAGCGCTGTGTGTGAGATGGTTATCAGTGTGTAGATCAGCTCTCTGCAGGTGCAGCATTAATGCTGTATTACACTGGAGTGTTTCCTCTCTCTGAAGTCAGTCTCCTGTAAGTTGGTGTGTTTCTCACCACACTGCTGCGAGCGTCTCTCCTCACACACACACCTCTAGAGACGGAGGTGGAGTTCTGTTCATCAGTGTTGACGCTCTTTTGATAAATATGGAGAAAGAAAAAATGCCTCCTCTGATTTGTCACTGAAAATGTTTGATGATTTCCTCTCCTCACACTCACACTCACCACAGCCAGTAAGTACACTGTCACTGGTAAGTATTTAATTAGATGTACAGTTGTAAATCTCTTTCTTTTTTCTTTGCATATTCAGTTAGTAGTTTCATTATTGTAAAACAGAATATATCATTTGGAAAGGGAATGCAGTTTGACAATTTTACAAAATACGTCAAACAAGGGCTGTAAATAAAAGTCACTTCTCACTCTTAATGTGTGTCTCACAGTGCTACTGTGTAACAATACCAGGCTAAAAAGTCTCAAACACATTTTGTCCTGCTCAGGCAGCACTTCTTCTCTCACAACAGCTATAATTTGGTAGTTTGAGAGATTATTATTAACTTTAACATTTTAAAACATTCCCATTGTATATTTTTCCTTACATCTCTTAATAAATCAGTGACCAACTAATTTATAAAAACAGATTTATGACAAATAAGTTAGTTATTATTTGATTGATTGATTGATTGATTGATTGACTGACTGATTGATTAAAACACTGCACAGAAAACAGTATACTGTGTCTTGTCAGACCAGAAAACATTATCAAATCTCTCTCTCTCTCTCTCTCTCTCTCTCTCTCTCTCTCTCTATCTATCTCTCTCTCTGTTGTACAGTCAGTGTGAGGTTGGTGAATGGTGGCAGCCACTGTGCTGGGGGAGTGGAAGTTTCTGATAAAGGACAGTGGGGAACAGTGTGTAGTGATTACTGGGATATGAGTGATGCTGCAGTGGTGTGTAGAGAGCTGGGCTGTGGAGAGGCTGTAGATGCACTGAGTGATGCTCACTTTGGACCAGGATTAGGACCAATCTGGATGGATGATGTAG